CCGCCCCCCCCCCCCCCCCATCTCAATTTTTCATGCCCGATTTCCGAGTGGGGGGGCATTGCCCCCCCCCCAGACCCCCCCAGCTACGGGCCTGATCGAAAGACAGCTATATTTGCAGTCTACATTTCACTGACCAGAATGGACCTATAAAAATCCTGATCCGATGTCAGCTACAGCAAGTAGAGAAAAGATATTAAAATGTACTCTGATGATATTACTCTTGGAAGATATTTGTTTACGGCAGCAGTTGATACTTGATAACCCTAAACTAGAAACATCATTACACAGGTAATTTGTACAAATTTGATAGTTTTATGATGGATAACACTAATAACAACATTCAATTGAATTTATTGCCCTTTGTTGTTAATTATTTACTACATTGCCTCATCGCCTATATAATTATACATATAGCAAGTCCATAAGCAACTTATCATATTTAACCCATTGAGTCGCACTGTGCCCTGATGCGCCCTACTTTATTATTTTTCATATTTTCTCTGTCTAATGCCAGACGATTTTACTCAGTCTATTGCCAGACAATTTTACTATGCCTAATGCCAGATTATTTCACTCATTAGGGGGAGAGCCCTGGTGCTTAATGGGTTAAAGGCTTAACAAAGGAATGTCTAGAAGTACTATACAACTTAGTTAAAAGTTATGTTTGTCACCAATGCATTTAGTATACGAGCATTTTACTAAACTCACCACAAAAGAACATCCTGTTTTTACCTTTGTGCAACTTAAGAGAAGACCAACATTATTAACACTGTGTACCACTTTTGGTATATCTACTGGTAATGGTAGCAAGATTTTTATTACTTGGGTGCTGTTTGTAGAGAGTGAGAGAGATGGAATTTCTACTGAATTTTTTAACATTGACCTACATGAAAGGATTGTGTCGCCCCCAAAGTGTACAAAGATATGAAATATTACCACTTAAAAAGGAATTATTGATTGTACAAAATTCTATATTGAAAAGCCCTCCCTGCATGGCACCTACAGTCAATAGACTCAATATAAATCATAGCCTGCGAACTGGCTCTCAAGCTAAATTGAGAGCCTGCATCGATGACTAATAAATTTGAATATCTGCCCCGTAACGTTCATTTTTCCAAATATGGAATGTCTATCCTTATATAGTGTTGTTTACAACTTTCGTGCAAACTAAATTTAGACCGTGCAAACTAAATTTAGACCGTACATTTAATACTGTTTTTCGAAATATAAGATATTGAAGCAAAAGTTCAAATGTTTTAAATACTGTTTTCACAAAAGAAAACATTTCGTGCGTTGATATAAGATGGCCATGACCAATTTGATCATTTAATGTGTTTTTTTTATGCATAGTGCTTCAACAGTTGACATATATAGAGCTCAGCGGAAACATATAAATTATATTATCTGACCAATGAGAATTTCGCGTCACGATTTGAGATTTGTCACGATTTGAGACGCAGATATTCAAATTCATTAGTCATCGATGCAGGCTCTCAATTCAGCTTGAGAGCCTGTTCGCAGGCTATATAAATCATATAACACAGTTAAATTATTGGTCTCTTTGTCTCCAATATGTAACTTTAATTTAGTATCCAAATTGTTCAGTGCACATGGTCATGGTTCCATAAGCGATAAAGAAATTGTACAAAAGAGTGGTTTTTTAGATCAGATAGAACCAGATGATTGCATAATGGCGGACAAGGATCTTAATATCCACCAAGACTTTTTAGTTCTTCATGGTGCTCGTTTGATAGTACAACAACAAGACGAATAGCACCCACACGAGTTCATGTTGAACGGATGATAAGGAAACTTAAAGTGCCTATAAACCCAAAATGGATTTTGCATGATTCGGATAGAGCGTAAAAAGTTACAATAGAAGTTCTAGATTAGATTTTGGTTTAAACTTCTAGTTTCTGAGATATAACGGCTCAAAGTGCCAATTTTGAAAAAAAAGTAGCGCACAGAGGAGACTGGGTCGGAGGAACACCGAACACGTTGTATTAATTT